TGACCCGTTTCTGCAATAATAGAAATATTTATTTCAATAGAAAATCCGATCTCCAATAAAAAGATAGATTCGGATGCGATACGATCCCCATCCAAGCCGATTTGTTCGTTTCATTTATCTCTCTTACGCTATCTCTGCGGCGATTGATCGGGAGAGTGCGTAAATCTCCATGAATAGATGCGATCAATCTAAAGATTGAAAATAAAGAATCTTCCGCATAGTCGCGCTGAGAATCAAAGAGAGATAAATCCCTCGGTATATATAAGATCATATATGAAGCTCGACGAATAAGCAATATATAAGAATTTTACGTGGCCAAAAACGACCAATCTAATCGATTCTAAAAGATTTTGGGGCGGCGGCTCGGAGGAATGCAAAAATCTCCGTGAATAGATGCAATCAATCTATAAATTCTAAAAGACCAATTTATAAATTCTACTAGGGTTTTATTTCTCCATCTCGGGCCTGCGCGCTCTTTCGAATAAATATATCGACAAAAAAAGAGAGAAAAATCCCATGGAATATATGAAATCGTACGTGAATCTCGACGAATAATCAATAACATATAAGAAGTATATATGGCGAAAAACGACCAATCTAATAGATTCTGAAAGATTTTAGATCTCCGTCCAGGGTCTATTCCGAATCGCCGCGCACATAGCCGAAGAAAGAAAAATTAATCGAAATCTCGGGAGATTTAGAGATACCCGGTCCCCATGACCAACCCGAATTTGCCGTCTCATTTATCTTTCTTGGGCTATCTATACGGCGGTTCGAGATAAAATATATATCCCCGCAGATAAATACGGTCAAATTATAAATTCTAAAAGATATTAGATTTCTATCAAAAGAAAAATCACTCGAGAGACCACTCCGGAAGCAAGAGCCGACCCCTCCAGAAGCAAGAGCCGCGCGACCAAAAATCTCCAAGATTATCCAGATTCGAATTTTTCCGAGAAGGTCTAAAATCTCCGAGATTTTAGAGCCTCCCCGAGAGTCCGCAAGAGGCGTCTCAGAGGCGAACCAGAAAATCTAAACCGCACGCGACCGAAATGACCGCAAATAGCCATAATATTAATATATATCAATAATTAATCAATTTTCTATATTCATCGAATAATTTCATTTTTCTAAATATATAATTTCTATCTTCAATATTCGAAATATTAATATTCTATTTTCTCGAAGAAATATTTTATCAATAATATCTTCTCATCTCTATATATTCTTCTTTAATAATATTCATCCAATATTTAAAATCCGAAGACTCTATAAATTTCGTAATTTCATTTTCTTTCAAAAATATTTTTGAATTCCTATTTCTTCTCATATATATCGATATATCAAATCAATTCCAATTTATATTCTCTTCAAATAAATCAATTTCCTCTCTTCTATTTCTTTATATTTTCATTTCTTATTATATATAAATAGATAATTTCATATATATATATATATTTCTCTTACTCTTCTTAATATATTTATCGAAAATTCGAATATCAATCAATGAAAAGGAGGAAGCATGGGATCTCAGAGTTTAAAGGGCAATGGAAGCAAGCGCTTCTTGCAGCCCCATGAGGTCCAAAATCAGGGCATGCAGATGCCTCCAGCTACCATAATCTTTCAAAAACATTCATCCAGCTATCGAAACATACGGCATTTGAATAGCAGTCCCCAACGATTATTCTTTTGGCTTCGTGGATAAAACAAGGACTCTCCCTCGCTGCTCCGCGAGGGTTATGAGCCCAAGCTTATAACCAAGCCATGGTTGCGTCAACATCAATTCAAATGTCTCAGATTGTAGAAAGAGAAGAATTTTCTAATTTGGGATTGCTACGTAAAACCAATTTTGGAGATGGTAATACGCCTAAGCCCCCGTATGACGAAGCAAAATCTAATATTATATCGATGAAATTTGAATAATAGAAATTAAAATATTTATCGTATTAAATCAATTATGAATTTCATATATATATATAAGATAATCATGAATATCGAATTATGATTTTAAATTTCTAAGTATGAATCATTCGAATAATCTATTCATTTTAATATAATCCTCCTCTTCTTATTCAATCATTTTCTTCGAAAAATATCTATTAATACGATATTTCATATTCTAGAAAAAATCCATTCCTAATTACCAAGGTTAATATATGAAAGATATCTATGAATTCTGTCCATTAATCCATTTCCTATATTTCAGAATATAAATAAATGATAATATGATATTTTCTAATTTATTGTTTTTTTAAAAAAATGTAGTCGAATTCTATCATAAGTCAAAAACATGATTATGAATTCTGATATTTGAATCATTTTGAATCTTTTGATAATATTGGGTATCAAATATTATATCATAAATAATATTATGAATATTCAAGATGACGATTTCATCTTAATATCTCTTTCCATGAGAAATTTGCCTTTATATAATTCCTCTTTATTATAGGGTCCTATATCTACGTTTATGATATTCCGAAATCCTCCCTCAAATAGGACAGCCCTTCAGAATTGTTTTTGCCCTCGCATGTTGCGTTGGTTCCAGAGCACGCCCTTGAGAGGTCAGCAGTGACAACAAAGATTGAGTAGTGTTTTTTGGTGGTTGAAGCTAGTAAGATTATACCCAAAAAGGAGGATATAATCTTACTCTATATTGGGTACCATAGTAGACCCAAATAAAATACTACTCGATTGGGGTTTAGGGTTTGAGGTTTGTGGTGCGTGCCTCAGTTTGCACGCACAGGGTACACCTTACCGCGCACGTGCGCAGCTTCGTAGTCCCACCCCAACCACCCAAACTATTCTCATGTAGCAACCCCCCCTCGCAGCAAGCAAGGAGGGCTTACTTACATGTGTTTTGCACCCTCAAGTTTCCTTCGAGCAGCCTTGTGGCTTGCAAGGTGCAGGCCATGAGCCCCAAGGTGCCCAAGCCAGTGGTTGAGAGGCCATGCAGCACGATGGGGAGGCTTGGGAGGCCCTGAAAAAGCTCTGGAAGGTCCTAAGAGATTTGGCCTTGAAGCCGCAAAGCACCTGGAAGCTCCTGAAAATCCTGACAGACCCGATGTTTCTGGGAAGGGAAATCGAGGCTGTGAGGTCTTTTGCAGGAGTCTTGGGAGGCCCTTGTCAGGCCCGTGTAAGGGGCCTGGGAGCCCCGAGAAGCATACTGCAACGAGGGAAACTTTGCCCCGTAGACTTGTTAGAGCGCTCGGGCAGAGCCGAGGCTTGAGTGCCCATGCATATGGTCAGCGGTGCTCTCGCCAGTTTTGGGTTTTAGGGTTTAGGATGTAGGGCACTTCAAGGTCTGCCGCAAGGTCTGCCAGCGCAGCGGGCGCCTGACATAGACTAACGTTTAACGTGAGGTTCTGTGAGGTGGCGTTGATAGCTTTTGCAGGGCCCCTTTGGCGTTTAAGCAGATTTTGCCGGCCCTCCTCATAGGGTGTCAAAACAGGGACAACAAAGCGGACCATGTCAACCACCAGATGTTGTACACAATGTTTCAGCATGTTTCAGCCAAAGGCTTTTCAGGAGAGTTATCGTTCCGCAGCTCTGTATGCAGCCCAACTGGCTATTCAAAAGCTTCATCCAAATCACAACCACCCTCAAACGACACAGGGATGCCTTCTAATCCATAGCCTAGCATGTCTGAAGAACACCAAACAAGGATGCTGTCATGCGTAAACCAGTTGAAGCCGCGTTGCGGTCTTTGCAGCTTTGGAAGTGGGGGCTTTTGCAGGCTGTGGCTCAAAGAGTTTGATGATCTCAGCAATGGGGAGTCCATACTCTTATCTGAGAAATTTTGCACCACTCCTTATGACCCCAGTAATTGTAGTTGCAGAGCTTTAGGCATCTTAAGTGGTGCAAGATTTCCTCCATCCAACGTAGTGGACTTGCGAGAAAAATTAAGGTAGTCTCAGGGACCATAAGGGGATTGTAGGGGGACCTTTGAGGGACTCCACAGAATTTATTCAGAGACTCTCACATCACTCCTTGTACACAGGCTTCCTCAGACTCGAGGGCATGTCTCCCCTACCCTAAACTCGCAGAACCCTCATTGCAATGTCCTGCTTTCATTCATTCATGCCCCTCTCAGCACGAGAACGAAAGCTTAAAAAATCAAAAGCTGAAGCTTTCCTAACTTGCACAGAAGCTACTGTGGATAGAGGAAATCTTGTACCACCTTGTATGAAGCCTCAATGGTGGAAATTGTAGTATGCTATGGGGGGAGCAAGATTTCTCAAGGACACCTGCAGGTGGGTAGTTATCAGGTGGGTACCCTGGAACTGGAAAGAGGCCCCACCTGGTGACTATCCACCATGGGCTGTCCCTGAATTTGCTCCAGCCTACATGGGGTTTTGGACGCCCGTGGCTTCTAGCTGACCTCTCGAAAAGTTGCAAAACGATTCCTGGCTGAAATTCTCAGCACCGGTCGGCATGAAACAGGGAGGTTTCTCAACTCTATCAGATCCTACGGAGACGGGAGACTATGTATAATGTATACATGAGGATTACAACAATGGCCCTAAACCCTAAACCCATGGGGTTAGGAGGGGGGTCCTCACAAAGGAGTCTGCAGGGGTCATGTTAAGAAACCCCCGCTGCAGATGTGAAACTTGTGAAACACGTTCTTCGCCCATGGTTCCTTTCTTCGGCTTCTTGGGCGAGCTGCTGCAGCGTTTGTTAGGGTTTAGGGTTCAGGGCTTACGGTTTCGGAGCACTTTGACGGCGCCTGACACTTTAGAGCGGTTGAAGATTTAGATCTCCAGGGTACTAGAGGGGCCGAAAAGATAGGAATAACAGTCTTTCTGCGCACCGCAAGTTATCCGTAAAGAGCACACGGCTTATTCATCGACATCATGCCACATCCGTCTGTGACGGGTATTTGTGTACTTACATTATATTATGTATGGGATTGTCGAGCGATAAGCTTCCATATCCACCCGTAAACATGCGTAGCACCCACTCCGCTGATGCCAAGGCAGATCCATCTCTTGCTCATCTCATGAGATGGGCGGGAGGAGGGTCCTACCTGAGCTACGTGGGTTCAGGGTTCGGGGGTTTAGGGTCCAGTGGCTTTTGGTAGTTGAACCAAGCAAAATCCCAAGTGGTGCAAGATGTCCTCCCTCCGCCCTAGAACTACACCCACAACCACTACTCCTCCTACCACTACCACGACCACTACCACTGCTACCACCCTTGTGGATCCAGCAGCTCTCGCTGCGGGGCAGCGGTGACTGGGAAGGTTCCGAGTGGAGCTGCGGCCTTTGTCAAAGGGGGTTGAGGGTTGTACCTAGGGGTTCAGGTTTTGGTCTTTTAGGGTTTATGGGTTTAGGGGTTAAGGGATGTACCCCTAATCCTTATGTGGGGACCTCTAGGTTGAACTGATGTACTGGAATATCAAATGGAGAAGGACAGGGAACGTTACCCCGAAGCATGTATGGGACTAGGGTAAGCTTTTCAGGTAAAGGGCTGGACCAAGGGTGTATCGCTGTCCTTTTAAGGGACCTCAGGGGACTTCACTGGTTCATACAACGACGAAACGGGGGGCCATACAAAGGACACCTTCTAGGGGTACAACCGTGGGGATACCACTCTGGAACCCTACGCCCAAAACCCTTGAACCTAAACCCGAAACCCTAAACCCTACCACTCTGGAACCCCAAACCCAAGGTCCTTGCCCCTGGATGCAAAGGTTCCTGAATTGAGCTAGGGTTAGGTTTCGGCTTTCTAGGGTTTTTTGGGGCTTATGGGATTGCTGGGGTTTGGAGGCGGATGGGGTTTGTGGTCTTATAGGGTTAGGGATTCATGGGTTCATGGGGCTGATACGGTTTGAGGGTGGGTTCTTCAAAGCAACCTTATTTACATCCTAAAGAATTATGGGGAGCCTCAGCAGCGGTGGCAGTCGAATCCGTGGCGATGGGGAATCAAATCCTGCGTGGCTTGGTAAGGAGTTACTGCATCTGGGCTGCATAAGGATGTAGGTGGTTGATGGGGTGTACAGCTTCGGAGTCAGGATTGATAGGATTTAAGGTTTAGGATTTGGGAGGAAGTTTGAGGTTTCAACCCCAAACCCTAAAATCCAAACCCTAAACGCCTCTGGTTTGGGGTCTAAGGCCTCATGGCATCAATTTTTGAATTTCGGCGGTGACAAGGGTATTTAGGGATGCCAGGCCTGAGGGGTTTGGGGTCAGGGAGTTATCCATGGTTTAGGGTTTGGGGTTTGGGGGTTTAGGGGCTTGGGGTTTGGGTTTAAGGTTTAGGTTTGGGGCTTGCCAGAGGGCTGTGGAATGTTTGGTTTTCCTGGCCTCAGCTTCCGTGTTTGAAGTGAGGATTCAAGGACCATCAGCGTCTACAATTACTATTTCGACCGCTTTTAGTATGACTACAAAGCATTAGTATTGCTAATAGTATAACTACTACCAAAAGTATGTATATGACTATTACGATTACTACTGCTATGCCCCTTACTATGATTATTACTATGACTATTACCATTAGTACTAATGTAGCCCCGTGATGAGCAACCCCCCTCCCCTTGAGTGGGATTATAACAGGACTCCTGATATTAAGGCCCTCTAAAGGGAGGGGGCTTATTCATCAGGGGTCTACATTAGACCCTAAACCCTAAGTCCTAAATAGTAGTTTCCATTTTCTTTTCCATTATTCCTTTATAATCCCCATATTCCCCTTGTACTATTACATAACCCCTTGGGTCTACATTACTGTTGACTCTTATTCTTCTTCTATAGTTTGGGGCTCGAGAGAGCTTCAAGGTCTGGACCTCCAGGCTTTGGATTCACTGTCGCACCGTCAGGACCGGAAGAGGTGTAGGGAATTGTCCCAGGGTTTAGGGTTTGGTGGTTGGGCTTGGGGCTTAGGCTTTTGGGGTTTGGGGTTTAGGGTTTGGAGTTCGGAGTTTAGGGTTTGGGGTGAGGAGACCGACGAACCAATACAAATATCTCCATTTCGCAGCTTCTATCCCATGTCCCGATTGCCAAAACAACATTTATTGATTTGTGCTCCCTGGATTCCGAACCTCGAAGCCCTCAACATCCCTAAGCCCAAAAACCTAAACCCGCAACCGTAAACCCTGAGCCTTGCGGATTGGAGCTTCCGGGGTGGGGGGTTTGGATCTTGACGTCTTTGCGTTTGGCATCCTGAAATGCGAGTAAGCCAACGCTGCACACCTTCCTTGACAAGAAATGAGTTACTGGCGGATGCAGGAACACTTGGACCACTGAGGATCACCCATGCGTGGAAATTACCATTACTGGTGTTATATAAGGTGGTCCGGGATTTTCTATCCACAGTATCACAGTATCCCTACATTCTGCCTACATAGCCCCAGGAATTAAGACAGTGGTGGATCCCGCACATAATCCTTATCTATCCCTAGAATCCCTACACGTTCCCAATATAACCCCATCCTGCCCCAAAAGGCCCTCGGTTTTGATTTAAGGTCCCCCAAATACATGCACTCAACAATATTCCTCAGGAACCCTTTATACACTCACCTAAGGCCGTAATCACCATACCTACTTCCTATGTTCCCAACATAACCCCTATATCATCCTACCTTCATTTTTCTAAACCCTAAACCCTAAATCTCTGCTAACCTGTCACCTTCGACTCCGCTCAGTCCTGGCATCCGGCTTTCGCCCTGACACAGGCATGAAGGCAAGAGAAGCTCAAGCCTTCACCCCTTGACTAGGATAGGTTTGGAGTCCCTAAAGAAAACCAACTTTTTCTGCGTCTATATGTGGATTATGTAGGAATTTGGGGAAACACACGTGAAACATCATGTTCAAACCTACCCCTGTTAACACGACCTTGAAGGTTTAGGGTGTAAGGTCTAGGGCTCTAGGGTTTGTATGAATTTATGATCTAAGGTTTAATTTTGGGGTTCTGGGAGCCTCAAGAACTACGTTTAAGCTTGGGGGTATACCACACCATAGTCGCATGCGGGAAACAACAGGCTTGGTCAGGTAAGCCTCAGTCCTGAACCCCTAGGATGAGTATGCGAGTTGTTCCTATGCATAGTCCCCCTTAAGTAGATAGAATACGGGGTATATGGGCATCTGGTTTTAATATACCCAAAGCCATATTCTATCTACTTAAGGGGGGCTATATATCAAGGACTGCAGAAGTACAGCTTTCCTCTGCCCATTGAATTTCTGAGGTTGGCTAAAGGCGAGGCCAAAAAGCCATGGGCTGTAAGTGCCCCGCCTTTACAGTAGATATAAAAGGGGGTTTTCCAAAATTAGGGGTACCATTTTGAGGGTCCCAATAAGAAGGATTATCGTATTTGGGGGTCTACATTCCCCCTCTATTGGGAAACTACCAAGGAGGCCAGGATCCGCTACTCAAAGGTCTGGAGGCTAACAGCTTCTTCGATCGGGACAGGCAAGCAAAATCCAAAAGAGGGGTTAGTCTAGCAGCACTTTTGCACCTCAATTAACGACCCTAAACCCTAAACCCTAAACCAATTATCAGCAGTTCTGGCGGGGCTCATCTATTTGCAGGTTTCTGGAGGCATTAAAAGCAAAGCTCTGGCTTGAAAAACATGAAACCCCATTATAAACCCTATATAACCCCCAATATAACCTTGATATAACCCTATTATAAACCCAATATAACCCCAACATAAACCTAATATAACCCTGATTTAACCCTGATACAATCCTAATATAACCCCATTATAAAACCAAAAACAACCCCATTATAAACGCAATACAACCCCCTATATAACCCCAAAATACCCCCCAATATAACCATTACATAACCTTCGAATCAGTCTTGCATTGCACGTTATGTACTTTGATCATAACGCGAAGGCAATGATGCAAGCATGCGATTGTTGATGCTTCGGCTGACAGATTCACCACGAGCCCGTCGTCTAGAAAGAAACCTGCTCAACATCTACAAATAAATGCTCCCCATATCCACGTGCGTAGCCACAAAATGAATTGGGGCGGGGTAGTGGGGGTTCGAGTCTAAAGGGGGGACAATGAACCCACGCAGGCCTCACCGTACGCGATTTCCGTAAAGCCCGGGCTGCCTTCACAGATGCCGCAAATGGAGCAAGGCTTTGTGGGGGCGTGGAGTTGCAGGCTCCCTATGTGAGCTACAATCTAGTCTCCTCAAAGGGACGGTATACAGGGGGCTAAATAAGGGAATATTGTAAGGGGTATGAAGGGGATACTAGGAGTTTAGACAATTGCTCACATATTGCTACCTCCAAAGAGTGAAGGTACTTAGGGTAGTGCAGCAAATCTTCAATCAACAATACCGGGAACATTCAAAACAGTAGATTCGCGTCTGAAGCCCGACGAAAGAAGAGTCTGGCTTAGGAATGCAACCGTTCAACAACCTTGCGCCCAGTCTGTCTCATCCTTTGCTCTTACAGCCAACTTAAAACAGAAATGTCTCTTTCTGGTCGCCCATACGTACCATCACCAATGTCCTCATGGAATCACATATACACTCACCAAACCGATAATGAAATCCCACTTCTTGCCTACCCTCATGTACGGGGGTTGAGGGCGTAGAGTCTAAGGGTTGGAATCTAGGGTTCGGGGTCTTGGGTCTAAGCTTATCCTTAAACGCTCAAACCCCAAACCCTTAAACCCTCAAACCCTTAAACCCTTAGACCCTGGTCTGTATGGTTTAGGCGAAAAATGATTTAGGTTCTACGGCCAAGTCTCATAGTTCAACACCTTACAGGATGGCTTAATCCAGACGCGGTTTAAGCGTTTAGGGTCTGGGGTTTAGGAGTTTGGAGGGTTTGTGCAAGCAGCCTGCAGACGATCCGAACGAGAATGACGCCAGGGTTGAGCCAGAACATGGGACACACAAATTTCAACTTTCATCCGAACATGTTGACTTAAACATTCAGCACTGCCTGACACATGGGATAAAGGGGCCTCAAAAAAATGCAAGGATTTAGGGACTCCCGAATGCTTTCCTGCCTTGTAGTGGAGGTGAGCAACATCCGTCTGCACAACCTGTTCATGAATTGGGAAAAGGTGTTGGGATTAGGGCTTGCGCCTTAAAGGTCTACTCTTTGGGAAGCGATGGCTGACAAAGCCTGCAGGTCAAGAAGAGCCGCAATATTCGATCTTTCAACACAGAACTACAGAAATCCTCTGGTAGAAACCGGAGATCCTCCGGAAGAAGCCTAAGAAGCTCAACATCATCGCCTTGTCTAGAACTTTCGTTCTATCTCATCCCCACCCTGGCCAAGTCCCTGTGCAACCCCCAGAATAGTCACATACTGCCACAAGACTTGGGTACATAGAAACCAGTGCGTTGAAAGACCCCAAGCCATACACCCCCTAAAACTCTCAACGTCGCACCTTTGGCAGAAAGGTTATCAACTACCCATATTATAACCCTGAACCTCAAACCCTTAATTGCACCTTTTGCAGAAAAGCTGGCCACCATGGATGGCAAGGCTCCTGCAGGCATTTGAGCTGTTCATGGGTTCAAAGGAAGGTTGCAGGTGCAAACGAATGCAGCCAGCTTTGTAGGTAGTAGATCCTAGGATTTAGGATGGTTTAGGGGTAGGTGGACATATAACCCCCTTAAGTAGATAATATAGAATATGGGGTATATGGGGATGTTGGGGACTTTCATGTTCTGCTTAAGGGGCACTATAGCTTTACTAGCTGAAACAAAAGGAGAAGAAGAAAGCCCGCTCTTCCAGGATGTCTTACTCAACGCATGTTACCTTTCAGCACAGAGGGTTTGGAAATTAGGGTTTAGGGTTTAGGGCAGAGCCCTCGATCCTGAACCATAATTACTTGAGGAGGCTACAGCTTGACCCTAAGAAGTCCCCAGCCCCTTTCCCATTGCGGAGCAAGATCTGCAAGCTTAGTAGGCTTGTCATCTTCCAAATGCAAGGCGACCTATTTCCACAACACACACAAGCAGATCCTCATGAACCCTAAGCCCTAAGCCCCAAACCCCAACCCCTAAACCTAAAACGCTTCCCAAAACGCAGAGGGAAAGACTAGAGGCAACAAATCCTCAACTTTGAGCAGTTATCCTAGGCTTGTCAGCCCATTGTTTTAACTTGCACAACTCAATGAGGCAAGATGTACTGAACTCAGTTGAGCTATAGCCTGAACTTAGAGGGGTTATATAGGGTATCATATAATAGGGGACTACTGTACTATAGAGGTTATTAAGGGGGATACTGGGACTCTCGACTACAGCTCATGCGAAGTCATCCTAAACTTCAAAGCCCGCCCTGTAAACCCCCAACCCTGACGTCAAAACTCGAAACCTGAGCAATCCTCCTATGGGACCCTAGGGATCTAAGTATAAAAGCAATGCCTAATTTGGGCCTCAAATCTATAGATATTACCTACGTTGGGCTATATGGTAATTGTAAGGTTAATTAGGTACGCCTAGGAAGGAGGGTCCCGCCCCTCAGCCCTAAACCCTAGTCCCTAAAGCCTAAACCCGAAGCTTCCTGCAAAGGGTGGGGGCGGAGGCGGAGGTGGAGGCGGCGGCGTGGCTGGCGGCTCGGGGGCAGCATCCGAGGCGGAGGTACTGATGGCCTCCATGCTCAGGCTTAGGGTTTAGGGTTCAGGTCTAAACAGCAACCAACCCAGTTTAGGGTTGAGGCGTTTAAGTTTCAGGGATCAGGCTAAATTAGGGTTTAGGGTTTGTGGGTGTATGCTCGTCACACTTTCGCAAGTGTAGATGGACCCTGGAAAGTGAGCCTTAAAGACTACTAGGATATTTACAAAAAGGCGCTGTATGCGGTTCCATGCCAGTTTTTAGGGAGGGTTAGTTACCTTTTCACCCCAAGGGTCCAAGTAGCCATAAGTAGGGGATACCCAACATGATGAAGTATCTAGTGTGCAAAGCCCAAGTTGTTGGGTTCCTTGGACCCAGGGTGAATCTTGCACCATACGGCGCTACTAATGAGGATTTAGGGCACTTAGGAGTAAAGTGGTCTGGGATTTCACCAACAATCCCACCCCCAAATGAAGGGGCCAAGGTGACTCAAACAAGCATTCCTTACACCTTGCAGCTGCCTTGAGATTGTACTGAGTCCATACGAGAATTGCACTGTGCTTGGGAGTGCTCATGGCTTGGCGTTGAAATGGTGAGTAGGTTCCCATAGTAAGTCGTCCTTATATAGTCGATCCCTATATCCTATAGTCCTTTATTCCTCACTACCCACCAGTAAAGCAGGGATTTACAAGCAATTTTGTGGAACAAATACGGGCTTTCTTGATTCTAGGGGAAGGAGCTTTACCCTCCACCAGATAAAGATGGAAGCTCAACAGGAGCCCTGGGAAGACCTCTGTCACCTTAAGTTGTCAAAACTGCGGTCCCTTTGGCCCTAAAAGGGGGCTACAATTTTCACAGCCTACCATGCGCGCTTCCATGTTTGCTTGGGGAAGGTAGGTTTTAGGGTCTGTGGCTTGGAGCAGCTCAGGGTGAAGGATTTTGCAGCTTCTACACACGAATGGAAAAGGAAGCGGGTACTAGACTTTGTTTAGATGTACCTAAACCCAAAAAATATGTAAATTAATAGCTCTAAATCCAAAATAACAGCCATAAAGGCCATCATTTTTACATACATTTGGGGTCCAGGTAAGGCTTTGAGCCCCGTGTTGCGAAACACACCCACAAGAAAATACGACACGGGACCGGAGATGGGACCCATCTTACCACCCCCAATCGAGGTCCATCTCGTGTTCATTAAACACTAGTCCCCTCTCACCCCCCCAGCCCCCCTAATATAAAATACTCCCAGTGTGATATATACATATATATATATATACCAAAAAAACATACTATTACGGGGCTTAATCTTAGGGGGAGGGGATTGATTCTCTTTTGACTCGGGGGTCTCGTCAGAGAGCTCGTATTCCGAGGGCATTTGGGTTGGAGCGTTCATTCAAAAGCCATCCTTGAACCTACACTCAAAAGCAGTGATAACTACCAGGACCTTCCGTGTACCCTTAATTGGGGGTATATGGTTCTTAATAGTGGGTAATTTAGGTAGGAGGAGGGTCTAGGTACCTCCAAGACTCGTGCTTAGGTTTTTTGGTTTATGGGTTTAGGGGGTTTAGGTCTTAGGGTTTAGGGCTTCGGGCTGGTGTTGAGATGAAGTCGCTTTTTGACCACAGTTCCGCTCCCTAACACAAAGGACGGAAGCCCTGTGGCGCAAATCCAGAATTGAAGGGTTCAAATCAATGCCCTCAGCTGGAGGATGTCTCACGAAATCTCACAACAGCAGGAACCTCAATACATTCGGGTAGCTCCACTTTAGCAGCAGTTGCGGCGTAGACCCAGAGGTTAGAGCATACATCGCCGCAGTATATAATAATGCTGCCTCGATGTCCTTTTCCTCCACATCCGCCTTGGCCTGCTGCAGCTCAGCCTTGCGAAGGAGACTCAAGCTTAGGTGGCGGGCTTTGATTTCATGGTTTCATTCGGCTGCAGATTTGGGTGCGCTCGAAAAGGTTATCTAGACGCAAAAGTAAGTAAGGACTGGCCCAACATCCCGAAAAATACTGAAACGGGCCATGTTCTGCATACTCTGGCGGTCCAGGCAGGTTCTTTTCCCACTCCGATGGTGCTCATGGAAATCGTGCAAAACAGGATCCGAATGAATGGACTAATCAAGGCTGACCTGAACAGTTCTAGGGGTAGTGGGCCATTGTTCAAGTTGCTTTCGGGGTCCAGGTAAAGGGTCGTTCACGCTTTTACAAGGATTCTTGTAGCTGCTCATGTTTCAGGATGGATTCGAGTGACAGCGATGCACATCGCCGTGAAAACAGTGAAGTCAACCATCGAAATCACAGCAGAACCTGCATTGCGGTAGCCCGATCTGGAACCAGTGCAACTCGACCAAAACCGATCCCTACTTGTCCCCTGAACGTAAGTGGTATCATGGCCCAGTACACCTAAAAGTCGTCAAACGGGCGCGATTGTTCTACATACTTTGGGGGTCCAGGTACTGTGGAGGCTGCAAGCCACAAACATTCAAGTAGGACTCGCTACGCTTGCTACCTGAAATTCTCGCATGACCCTGAGCGCCCCATGTACCCTAACTATAGGAATATACATCGAAATATACTAGGATCCGGAACATGATTTATAGCAATGTTTTCTATAAATTAAGGGGTATTGGGCTGCCAGAAGAGTAGGGCTTCGGACCACACGACCAGTCTAGCTGCATGAGGACGCAGATTTGAGTCCTTCTTAGGCAGCGCAGAGGGTAAGTTTCCTAGGAGCCCCTCTTCTCCCGTGCCTGAATTCAAAATCCAAAGCGCCTGACCTCTAGGGTTTAGGGTTTACGGTTTGTACACTGAGCAGAGATGTCCTTTTCAAATCCTGCCTGGGAAGCAGCCAAATCCTTCTCAGGCGTCGCAGGAGAAGTTTCCTTTCCAGGAAGCACAAGCCTAGAAGCCTGGCATCTAAATTGTACGTACGCAATATACCTTTGATGCGCACCGAGACTAGGGAGGAGCACGCCGCTGTATAGGGGTAAGTGGGCATATCTGCAGCTCTGTCGGTGCTACAGGAAATGACGATTAAATATCTGGGGCCTGGGTGGAGAGACTTACGAATGTATGGAGATTGCGGGATCACATCCGAGGGTTGTCTAGGTGCCATCCTGAAAAGAAACTCCCAGATCGCTCAGCTTCTATGCCAGTGTGGGCGTCCTGGGCTGAAGGCCAGGGTCTCAGGTTTACAGAACCTCACAGGCAATGTAAGTCTTGCCTTGCCACCCTGCTCGTATTTGTGATATATTTCTCTGCTGGCAGTGTCTCAAAGTCAAACAGGTTGCAAATTGCACGAGTAATTCCTTCCAAAAGCCTGACAACACTCAACACAAACCTGACCAACGAAATGATGTGGTGCCCAATACAATCCCCACCAAGCCCGAAACATCCCAAATCCTCAGTCTGCGACCCCAAATCCTAAGTCTCTTAGACCCCAAATCCCTTTAGATGAATCCCTATATATCCCTATAGAAGCCCTTAGAAAACCCCTACACCTCCCTTTAAAGGTACCCCTAAGTTTGGGAACCCCGCAAACCCTCAACGCCTTCTATCGTAAGCAAGGTCCCCTTGCCTTGCGCTGAGCCGCACGGTGCTCTGTGAAGATCTTGATGAGCTCTTCATCTCGGTTTAGGGATTAGTGCCGTTTGGGGCTTAGGGTTTAGGTTTTCGGGTTTGGGGTTTGGGGTTTCGGGTGTAGGGTTTCGGTTCGGGTTGCGTAGGGTCTAGGGTGTGATTGTCTTGCGATGCGTGGGAAGATAACAAAGGAGCCTCTGTAGTACGAGAATGGAGGATCAAATGAGAAAGCTGGAAAATCATTTGGAAACACCTATTTAGGGTTTAGGGTTGGGATAGTGGAGAACCAGATGGACAAGTTAAAAACTGACATGGGTGCTAGGATTATCTGTGGTTCACGGTAACGCGCTCGTGTGATTCATATTCCCAGCATGTCAGACCTATGTATGTACATATGCGAACTGTAGGGCTTTGATGCCTGAAGTGCGCTTCGAAGCAGAACGATCTCTTCAACAATTCCTCGCCTAGACCCCAAAGGTCAGCAATTCATGGCCTACATCCCCTAACAGTTCTCATAAAAGGCCATTGTTACTGTAGTGGCCTAATGCAGACCCCTGATTAATAAGTCCCCTCCCCTTAATAGGGATTATAATAGGGATCCTAGTATTAAGGCCCTTAAAGGGAGGGTGTTTATTTAATCATGATTAGCTGGGGCTGCACAAGAAACTGGGCTCCAGCTTTGGCAGGCTGAGGCCCTGTCCTGACACCTCTCCAGCGCGCTGGAAGATGACATTTTCCCAGGGCCTCAGAGTTGGAACGGGCTGCACTTCGCTGGGTTGCTGTCAAGGTGCTTAAATCAACCTACCATAACGAGGAACCCCCCCCATATTTACGACATACACATATTATGGTAGCTTAAAATGTATGTTCCTTAGCGCCAACCCAGTTTAGGTCTCCGTCTTGGGAGGGCCCTTCGAAGAAGCATGGTGCATCTACCTTCATGAAAGCATTAATCTGTCTCCGCGCAGAAGATGCATCCCTTCATATCACATAGAGGCTTGCTTTGATGCGCCCGGATTGAAACCTGAAACGCGTGTGACTATTTCAGAAGTTGCTATGTCTCCTGGGCTCTGGACTGCATACAACTATGTACTCAACATAGTACACCAAGTATGCATCGCTACATGAGGGTACGGTGTCTAAAGAGAAGTCAATGTAGATACTCTTGGGATGGGCCTGGACGAGCCGGACTTTCATGGGGAGTCTCACTTCATCCTAGCTCCCGGCATACCCTCCCCCAAACAAACATGGAAGCCCTGCAAAGCCCAGTGCCCCTTTGCAAGGATCTTTTTTGGACTTTCCCTAAACTTTACGTCTGGCAAGGAAAGTAAGAGATTGAGATTTGAGTCTCCATCAGGCGTCAGGGAAAGGTTCAAACCCAGCTCTGTCTGTGAAGCCCGCGCCCCCACGCATGTGGGACCTGGCCAACAGAATTGTTTCCGAATATGAGCTCCACTCTAGGGACCCGTATTATACTAAATTCGAGGAGATCCGCATATGTACAAGGCACTGTCGGGGAACATGGTATAGAGTCTGGGGTTTTGCTAGGAGAGCTGACAGGATGTCCCCCTAAACTTCAGAAACCTCCATCTTGGTGTCTCCCCACGCGCGCCCGTGTGCTCTTGACTTCTCCTGTTCTCCTACAGTTTTTGCGCACGAGAATCTCTTTCGACAATCGCGTGCCAGAACAGCCATTACCATAGGGCTGCTTATTTCTTAATACTAGGGAGTCTCTAAATATCATTTCCATTTCCAAAACCCCCAACACCCCCTAAACCCCAACTCCCTGGAGCCCAAGCAACTCCCTGAACCCAGCCCTAAATTCCGAAGCCCCCCAAACCCTGAAACCCTCCCCCTAACCCCACCTCCCCACCCGAAAACTCCAAACCCTCGATTCCAAACCCAGACACCTTATACACCCTAATCCCCACAAAGCCCGAAGTTTAAGGGTACCTAGGTCATGCAGGAGTGTTATTACACACCGAAATGTACGCTAATTTCATTCTCCATCACTGGGGAAATAACTGAAATAACTCCTAAACCCCAAATAGTAGTTGCCATTGGCATTTCCTTTATTTCGAAACAGCCCCTACATAGTCCTTGCCCATGATATCTCAGCCGTGCTACCAAGGCGAAGGGATCTCGTTCGACATCGACACTGGGTCAAAGACGCCCAGCCTTGGGTGTTCTAACAAATACGGGCCTTCCGTGTACCCTTAATTGGGGGTATATGGTTTTTAATAGTGGGTATTTAGGCCCTAATAGAGGGTAGGAGGGTCTAGGAATACAGGGGCCTATATTCAATTAGACTAGGGTGTTTGGGAAATACTTTTATCTCAATTATGATTGCACAGGGTTCATAAGGGGATAACCTTGGTAATTGGGGGTTGTCCAATATTCTTTCATCTCGAATTGGGGGCTTGCGCCGTGCTTGCGCGGAGCTTGCGCGCGCACAGCTTGGCTTACAATGGTTTTCGCGCAGGCTCATCACACAACAACTATAGTACCATGAGCGTTTTCGAACCCTTGCGCCAACCTTGCGCCGTGCTTGCGCGAAGCTTGCGCGCAGGGCTTTTGACAAATTATGTCACACTTGGTGTTCGTTGATCTAAACTGTAGACAAGGGTTTTCGGGCAACCCCCAATTGTTTGGGCTTTTACCGTAAAGGAGGTGCTTGGTGTTTAGGGTTCTACAGTTATTTTGTCATGGGGTTGTACTGCGGGGTTCAAAGTTTTACAATATTTGGGGCTTATACAAGGTTTAGAGTTTCATGCAATGGAACCACTCAGGGGCCTTGAAAAACAAGAAAATGGGATTCCATGCTAATGGGGACTGCAATCCCTTGTCAAAAGCATGAAACGCGATCTAGGGACTAGGTTTGGCGCTTGGGAATTAGCGGTTTTGTTCAGGGTGTGTTCAGGGATCCCAACATTGAACATGCCTCCCAAGAGACGTGCGCTACGTGTGTATAACATACTTGGAGACATGAGACATGTGTTGGAAAATTGTACTGGGGCATATGGGATGGTTATGTACACAGCTGCACTAACAACATTAACAATTCTAAGGCCTCATAGCTGGTTCCTCATTGGGATACGAGCAAGTATTCTAATTTCTCACTTTCCTCAGTGGGCGTCAACGTAAGGATACTCCAATTTTAGGCATCGAAGCCCCCAAAAAGACCCTCAAGGGTTCTTGACAGGGTCCTGTTTCTCTTGTTCAGGCGCCCCATGCATTCGCAGCTTTCATAAACTCCCCAGGGGTTTGAACACGGACATACATGATTCTTGCTTTTGAAGGCTTCCCAGAGCGACTGCTTTGCTGAAGGATGATGCTTTGCATCAGTCGTGGCTGCAGAAGCTTTGGAAGTGCATGGCACCATGACTTTTCTCTGCCAGCCTTCGTACAGGCCTGGTTATAAGCCTGACAGGGATATGGGGACTCCTACAGCAAGGACTGTGGGATTTTGGGGGCTATGTCTAGGTTCCCGGTTTTGGGGAAACCCGGATTTAGGATAGGTATCGGGCTTTGGGTTTAAGTGCGAGTGTGACGTCACAGGGTCCAATCATCAACGCGCTTTAGATGTAAGCATCCCAGTGGCAATCGCCCAGAAGAGGCCTGCGTCAACCACCATTTTTGGGGTGCAATATACTGCTGTATTCCTCCCTCCGTGACAATCACGCCCTGGATCAAGGCAAAGAGGGGCTACTATACCACTTCACGAAAACTCGCATGGCCTGAATAATTCTACAAGGTTCGGCTTCCCTTGCCATTCTACTGTATAGGAACTGGGCCTACAATCCCTGAGGCCGCCAAGATTTAGCTGCACTGACCTTGGCCCCACACTTGTGCGCATGGGCAAAGATGTCTCGGAGAAACAGCATGAAATCCTCGCCAGACAGCGGCATGCCATGATAGACGTGCTCAGGGTTCATCCAACATTATCACAACAAAGCAAAACCTCAAACACAATGTCACAATGTGAATCCTGATGTGACAAATATCCTTGGCCAACACGCTCGGTCCCACTTCATCAATCCAAGTAGGCTTGGAGGCTCCAAATTGACACAGCGAAGGTCATGAAAGGGTCGTTCGAGACTGATGATATTTGTTGCAGAGTAAGGCAAGTCAGTGATCATGCTGACCACACCGGGAAAGCAAGTTGCCTTGGCACTACGCCCCACTGAAGGACCCCACGCAGTCCCAAAAAGGCGCCAGATAACTGCCATTAGTTAAATCAACCCTTAATCCTGAACCCAATGCGGCAGAGCACTAGCAGTAGACCAATGAAACCCTAGCCCACAAAAACTCTCAATCCCGCCTTGCCGTGGTTCATGTGCTTCAGGTGGCAGAGCTCATGCAAGAGGACCTTTGTCACCAGAAAGTTTAGGGTTTAGGGCGTCCATCCCTAAAGAAACGTTCTCACTCCCTGACATCATGGTGCCATTATAACAGCCAAAGCGACGGCGATCTGCGTCCCTCGCGAGATGAATTCCGTCTGGGGATCCTGAGGCTGTCATAGGGCTTGGGGCTTCCAAGGTTTCGAGGCTTGGTGAAAGCCAGGTTTTCGCGTAATAGCGACGGATTGTTCAGGCATCAGGTTGTTTCGACATCTAACTACATCTGCAAACCAAATCTGGGTGGGGGCCGGCCATAAATGGGGTGGACGTCTTCAAGTTTGTGCCCTTTCTGGGTTGTCCTTTTTCCATGGAATGCACTCATATAGTATACATGCGTTCAATACGGCCATACCATACGGCTTCAGGACTTGACAGCTGTGATGAGAGCTGTTTTGATGACTATGGTTCCTCAGGTTCCCAGTCAATGAGGCCCTGTGGACCTTGGGCACGAATGTCTGTAAATAGGGCTCCCGCTCCCTTTGTTGGATGTAGACGTAGCCGGAGACGAATGGTCACCAAGTAGCGCGTCTCCTGAACAGCTTTGGAGTCTTTATCATTGTTCAACTGAGTAACACTTTTTTGGATGGTCTAACCAAATGAGATTGTATTCATCTTATAGAATACCATACCCCAAAGGAGGATACAATCTTCCTCCATAGTACACAAATAACAAGCTACTCAGCTCAAGTTGCGGCCCTTCGTGTGAGCGCTCTTGGGAGCATGGCAAGCCATGCCTCTGAGGCAATCACTATAGCCTGGCGTGGACCTTCCGAACTAAGAACGAAGCTTTTATGTATGGCCTGCTCTGTCTGCGCTGGGTATGGCTAGGAGTCACGAATGTTTTGTCTGACAAGTGGGTGCATGTCCTCGATGTTTACATCCCCGTTTCTGTAAGAAAGTCAAGCTCCAAGCCATTTTACGAGAAGACGGACGTGCGTCCGTGAGCGACGCTGACATATTGCACGAAAGTCTTTTCATACTGACATCCCGTAGAACGAAGAATGAGTAGACTATCACCAGGCCTTCCAGCAGAAGTTTGTGCTAGTCCTGCAGCTGAACCTAAGACTACTGGAAAGAAGTGCCACGTCCTTCTCTGTCTGGCAGGTTTGCTTCGATCTCTCCAGCATTGGCTCAGACCCCTTCTGACTGACAGTCTGCTTGACTGGAACTTACTCACTCTTGCATGGCCACGATGCAACAGAAACTCGTCATCATCACACAGTTGCATTGGCTTCCTTAAAAAAGGTGCAGAAAATCCGTTGCATCCAGGGGCGTCCTGAATCTCCGTCCCATCCGGGCCTTCTTTCCTTCGCATGCTCTGTTGCGAACTTCTTGCTGAAGGCTAGGCTTCAGGTTTTCTGCCCTTGCAGTATCTCTTCAGGAAAGGTGCTACAGTGGATGCAAAAAACATTGCATGAACCTGAGTACCTTATATGTTGGGAATCTGGGTATCGCTGCATACTGAGGGCATGCAGGATTTCTAGTATCAATATGAACCCTGTACATCCTAACATAGCCCCATTACAGTAGTTTTAACTTTCTTTTCCATTATCCCTATATAACCCCAATAAAATCCAAATATTACCCACAACCACACCAGATCAGCACTTGCTTTAAAGCTGGCCACGGTGTACGCATCTGATGGTATCCAGACTTGGGCTCTCAACAACACGCCTTTGCTGCAAAAAAAGACTGCCCATCTTACTGGGGGCTAGTAATTAGGGAATAAGGGAAGATATTATGCAGGGATTATACAGGGATAATATTCCCTTATTCCCTGCCAACCCCCAGTAAGACATACCCTCCTGCAGTACGTTTCCTGAGCAATGAAGTGTACCATTCCGGGACAAGGTGCAGTTGCAAAGGAGAGGGGTCCGGATCAGGCTAGTTCTTCAAAGGTCGGATCCCTATAATGGTTCCCACGCAGCCGTCTAGAATGGTACCTTTCTATTGCCTCCCTCATCCTCCCGTACCAGGAAGCTAGATTCTTCCACCCCGGACCTCCGGCCTGAGAATCAAGGGCTCCTTGCAGGTTACGCCGGCCTTCTTGGCCTGCACAGCTAGCGATAGACCAGAAGTTGTCAGGCTTCTTGCAGCTATCCGTGAAAGCAACACACCTAGTTACATTCCAGTTTCTTCTTAACAATCTGATGCTGCTTGAGACACGTGAAACCTTACCAATCCTATGCCATGGCTAACTGGGAGGGCCCTATCGCTTTTGGCGTTTTAGCGCAGGATACAAGAAATGCTCTTCTGCGGAGTTCAATCAAACACAATCGTGGTGTTGCCTTAGAGTAAAGGATATCGCTTTTGGGGGGGGGTCCTACCGTTTTGGAGGCTTTTGGCGCCATTCCTACATCGCACGGCACTTCTTCTCTGTGTCCCTCATACGCGAGCAATGACCATTGCTCACATGGGTATATAGCAATCCCCAATACTAAGCCTCCCAACCCTCCCTATATTCCCCATATATTGTAGTATACCACGGTGGGGGTGGTTAAATATGAGGAGAGGGGATTACTAGGTTCCGGCTTCGCCAGGGTGCACATTTTGGTTTAGGGTTTAGGGTTTCTAGAAGCGCTGGCCCACATCGCTGACTGCATGTACAATGTCCCTTCAGCAACTCCATTGTGTGGCTGCTGTGGGGGTTAGGGCCGGGGGACAGCTTGAGTTCTCATTCCGGCTGCATCCCAGTAGTGAAACGTGTCAAGGGCGCGGTCGCTGGGTTATGCCATAAAACGCGTTTTGTACTTACTTCACGAACCCAAAAATCTGCAACTGCTCGAACCCCTTGGTGGCTGCAGCTCCCGTGCCTGCGGATGGTGCTCCGAGAAGAAATTGTATCGCAGCCCGAAGTGCCGGCAAATGGGAAGTGCTACCTGCTAGGCTTGGGGTGTCTGAGGGGTGGATGGCAAACATAGTGCAGGAGGACATGAAAACAACGCACATAGCCAGTCGTTTCTGACTCGGATATGCCGCGGATTGTGGCGGAAGCTGACACGTATGAAACGAGATTGTACCAGCCTGGGATCACACAAAGTCATGTCAGGTTTGCATGTAAGAGCTTGCTTGTACTGGGCTCCGGATTTTAAGGAGGAAAGGAAATCAGGATCTACCATATAACAGGGGAAGACCGCAAAGAATCATCGTTGGGTTTCAGAACTTAGCCCCTAATTAATTGGACCCGCGTGTCAGCATTGGAATCTGCGAGCATTAGCTTTCCTATCTTCGGACAGCAGCAGGAGGTAGCATCTTTTCGTGCGACGTTACTGTCTAACATTCTGAGCCCTCGATTCTCAATTCTAAACACAAAGAAGCTGTCCTACAGGGTCCAAGTACCCGTAGAAACGGGGTCAAGTCTTGGGCACCTAAAGCCCTAATTATATCATATTAGGGTACTTGGGTTGCCCTAAACGCTAAACCGTTTTAACCCTTAACTTCCTGAACCCTATAAACCCTTAACCCTAGACCCTAAACACAAACATTATATACCCTAAACCCAAGGTATGTCAACTTCATGGCACTTGGAAGCAGGGCCTTGCTGTTGAGCTCATGCAACGTTCGAACAACTTTGTCTCGATTCTTCAAGGGAACCTGTACTAGGGTTTAGAATTTAGAGTTCAGGGTTGAGGGGTTGGGGTTTAGCGTTTGTAAGTTTAGGAAGCTTGGGGTTCAAGGATTTCAGCTTTTAGGTTTTCGGGCTCTGACTTGGAGGGTTGGCCATTTGAGGGCTGAAGCTTTTGGGCTTCAAGGTTTAAGGTTTAGGCTGATGCTAGGAAAGAGCTTGATGGGGTTATGCTTATAGACATAGGCAGACATTTGGGGACCCTTACTGAGGAATATGTGAAAGACCCATACCTTGGTATTAGGACGCCGTCGTTGCGAAACTCCAAATACTAATCAGATGGCGTTCGGGCTCTAGCGGGCGTGCGAGGACGATGTGGCTGTTATCTGCAAGCCAACTTAGGCTGGATAGCCTGTAACACAACCTGAAAGCGTCAGTGGATTGCCACGGGCAGTGCGGTGTGTAAATGCAGACAAACATAGCCAAACAGGACATGGTAGTTGCATGTGCGACAGCAGATGCATGCACTTGCAAAACAACTATTGAACCTAATGAAACTGCACAAAACTGAGTAGTGACTCCTTCCACAGCTATAAGTTGCTTTTGCTGCTGGACCTGCAACATTGCTGCACACCTTCCCATGCCACAACATGCCAGCACAACGACCTCCGGCTGTGCATATGATATCGCAAACCTTCGTGAAGACCGTTTTATGCGATCCTACCCCGAGTTCGACAAGCTTGCAGTTTATGCGAGCTTGCGGCGCCTTCTGCCCCTCCGCACTTCTCATCGAGCTAAAGGAAAAATACCTCGCTTGATTTGCATGCGTCGCAAGCAGGAGAAAGCAATTATCTTAGGTGGCTCTCTCCTACTGGAAGCCACTGATTATGCTCCTGAATCCTGTCAGCATGTCCTGATTTCGGCCTGCATCTGCACTTCGGTAACTATTATTGCCTTACATCAATCTCTTCAATTTCAAGTACAACGCTGCATCTAAGCCAGTAGGAGCGGAATGCTTAGCGTCTACAAGCCGAGCATGCACATGCCAGCGACTGGGTTGCTTTAAAGGAGCTTAAGTCAGCTTAAACGAACTTACTGTGATAAAGTAACCGTATTATTTACTATAGAGCCATATTATGGTAGCTTAGTTCAAGTTCTTTAACAACAACCCAGGAAAGCACTTCAGAGCGGAAAGGCACCAAAGATTGACTCTAAGCGCTTTGAATCTCAGGTCCTAACCATGGGCCCCTAGTATGGGTCCTTAGTTGGGCTTTTATGTTTTTGCATGATATATAACGTGTATATAAGGACCCCAAGATCAGGGACCCATACTAGGGACCCATACTTACAATCTTTACTTGAACTAGACCCCGCCACCCAACAGCCTGAACTGCTACAGTTTGATGCTGAATCTGCCGCAATCATTGCCTGGAAGGCCTGCTGTAGGGTAAGTGTACCTTTTTGTGGAAACCACAGAATATGATTCATGAGAGAAGCAAAGGTTTGGGGCTCTCTGGGTGCAATCTGAACATCGCAAAATGTTAGTGCGAGGAGCAGCGCGCCCAAACCGGAGTCGAAGTCGGGTTCCTGCACCAGGAATTCAGATGGGATGTTGTCAAAATTATGGTCCCTTTTTGGGTCCCTATTATAATATTGCACCTAATATTTGGGGTACCCAAAAAGGGATCATAATTTTGACAACCACCCAGATGGGCTGGCAAGGGTGCCCTGACAAAGGCTGGTTGCTCTTGATTTAGATTCCTTAAGGTGTTCGGGCCCTGTGTCCGGAGCCAACTCATGATCCCGCCCCAGACAGGTGCTAGCTATCCTTCATAGGGGTTGAGCTTCCAGCTGGTTGCTTTCAGGCTCTGGGCTTCAGGGTGTGGGAATTCAATAGGACCTAGAAATCCTGATAAAGAATGCATGTCACATGTCTGCACAACACCCTTCGCGCCTCTTTCCAGATGGATTTCGTCACCACAACACGGCCTGAGTGTGGCTCTGAGCTTTTGGGGTCAATAGTATGGCAGCGTGTTTGAGGTCCCAAGCTGACCAGCAGCTGAATTGTCTAGAGCCTCTGCACAATGTAATATTAATGCTTGCCTACAAGCGCCCAATGACGCTGTCTACGCTAACCTAGGGACTTTAGCATTTGTTGAAATTGGGGTGGGCTCATCAATGAGACAACTGACAGATTGCCCTGGCAAGATTTGCGCAAAACATGGCACCTTTCGGAAATTTCATGCAGAGAAGGCACTTACGCAAAGTGTAGTCATGCAGGCACCCTGAATCAAATTCTGTTTAGTCACAAATGGTATCCAGGGCGCTTCGATGGCGCAGCCTCGGTGCCTTCGATCCAACCACGGCCAAGGAGAGGGTCTTGGCCTCCACTTCTTCTGTTTTGCAGTGCTCAGGGCTCATCCATAACATTTATAGTTGGAGCGTCTGATAGAGATAAGGTAACCTTGGGCCCGCCGTGGACTCTGAGCTTAAGCTTGCTCACTGCTTCCATGCAGTCAGCCCCTCGTCCCCAATCCTGCTCTGTGAGGATTTGGGCAAACCTTCATTGGAGCTGCACCTGGGCTGAGTGAGACTCAGGGTTCTATCCGCCCGCTTTAGACGAGCAGCATATCTCTATCAGTTTTGGAGGATGCTCCTGAGTCGGATCTCGTGCCATGAAACAAGTTGCGCACGTCAAAGAACACCCTTATGTCTATAGGGTATGAGAAGTTCGTAAGGAATAGAATGTGCCAGCTGATTCCGATCAGCCGTAGCGATTCTGCATGCAGAGCAACGTGCTACGTACTATGACTGCCCAAAACAACATTTGGAACACCTGCAGCACATAATTCAGCCTCTCACAAATGGCCAAATGCCTGTTGATAGCCTTACCCAGTGTTCCAAGCTTGTTCCCCTCATACATTTACTTAGGGTGCAAAATCTTGAGCCCTGACCACCTGTTCAACAACCAGCGCTCGGGGCTATGGTCGCAAGCTCTAATTAACACACCCTGAACCCTAAACCCTATATCTTCTTATGAATTAGTTAGCAGCTAGTTACATGTCTATCGTTGAAGTGGCAAAGCCGCGGCTGTGAAGCCCCAAATGAAGGTGATTTTGGGAGCCCCTATACAAAGGAATGTAGTTTTTTTTGGGGTGCTACCAATGAAACTTACCTAGCCTTGTCAGCTTCGCTTTGCGTCGCATCATCCTCAGCGGCGGGGCCGGCGAGCCTGTGAATGGAGATCCATCTGTGAGGGGACTGGGTATGTAAGAGGCGTTGGTGGCTAGCGCCAAAATGTCCTAGCAGGCATGATGCACACCACAAGGTGGGGGTTTTGTCCGCAAGGAATAACCTGAAGCCGTGGCGACAGCAGTAACAGCACCAGAAACAAAGCTGGCGCCAAAGCGGATGTCATCGGTGCAAGACATTGGAAGTGAAACAAGTCGAGCCAGCCATGGTGTGTGTGTGTGTGTGTGCACGCTGGCGGCTGTAGCAGACTTGACCGCAGCTTGCAATCCCCTTCTCTGCATGGCGCGGGCGTGAGCCTTTCGGCACCTGATTTGAAGAGAAGCTCCTTCACGAGGCCTACTCATCGCCTCCATGCACGTCAAGTATCTCAGGATCATTGCTGTCCGTGTCGTCACATGCACTGACCAAGGGTACTATTGCAGCCGTCCTGCCAGATCGCTGTGCTGCAGCCCGCCAGTGCGAATTGCCAGGAGCCAGCGGCACAATGCCACCGCTACAGCATCCGATCTCAGCAGCCAGTCAAAACTTCCGTTCCTGGCACCTGCATGCAAACAACTGCGACCTGCGAGTGCATGCTTCAGTCTGGCGAAACCCAAATACACCAACTTGAAAAATCATGCTTAACCTCAAGGCATCGCTGTTGATCTCAAGATCCCTTCGACAATTGCAGTCGAATGTCTTTGCGGAGCAAGCGGTACCTATCCTCCATACATTGTAGTTGGTGGGCAGTTCTCAGCTTTGCCAACTGCAGTTGCTGCTCGCGAGGAATGGCACTTCCAGAGCCAAACTTTGATCGCAACCGCGCGTAAAGGCAAGCTATCTCATAGGCCCGTTGAGTGCCTGCATCACTCAAGCGCATGTAGCGGCTCTGGTATCCAATGCATTCGCTCATCCGTGATCGAACATGGTGGAAGCTGTCGCGCGTCAGTTGCAAAGCAATCCTTGCTGCCTCACGTTTCACACGGAGTCCTCCGCGGAGCAAGTTCTCTAGGACATCTTTGGATTCTGCTGTCCTACCAACTACCAGGTCATGGGCGTGGCGATCTGCATAGATTGAAGATGCAAAGCCCTCGGACGCCAGGAAACTTTTGATGGCAAGTAGGATTTGAGGATCGTTCTGAGTGATCTTCAGACTCAGCCGAGCAGGATATCTCATGCAGATTGTTCCTTCCGCGTCAAAAAATCCAGCTAAGTAGGCCCAAGAACGGCACTCAGCACCAGCCTTGGGATTGGGGTTGTTGTTTTGAAGCATGGTGACATCCTTGAAGCAAAGCTGGCCATGCTGGGCCGTACTCGTACATCCCCCCGCAACAAGAAGTCGGTCCCGCTTGCATGAAGACGCTTGGCTGAGGGCTGCCGCCGCTGTTTGGGCAGGGTTGCCAAAGATTCCCCACTGCATCGCAGGCCGGACCATGCCGGTTTGCCTTCCATGCCTATAGATGCCCCCGCCAAACACATTCCTGAACAGTAGTAGCGCCAGACCACCAGACTGGGGGTTTGACTGTGAAAGACTAAGTTGGAACTTCCCCTTTTTTGCCGCAGCAACGCATCCATCGCCATCAAACAGCCCAGCCAAATATTCGAGAATCCGTGCAGGAATCTGGCCTTGCCATTGCGCGGTCTTTGCTCTCAAGGGCAACTTGTGAAGCCTTCCGCACGCAACAAGATGTGCTGACGCAGGAACAGGCAGACGCCGCTGCAGCGACCGCAGCCGATCAAAGCGACGCTGGAGCTGCTGCACAGAAAGCACTTTTGTGAGGCTGGCGGTAGGAACGCCTGTCATGCCCACATTGCTTTAGGCTTTAGATCCTTATTGAGAACGCAATATTACACCTGAGACGACAGCACAACAAAGCAGACACACGTCTGAAATCATATCAATCGCTTCCCTTGACATCAACATCAGAGAGGGGCAGCAGGAACGACTTGAAACACATCGTGGGCCCGACAGCGGCAATTCATCGCCCACTTACCAAATGGATGCAACTCAACATGTCCCCCCTAATGTAGGAACGGAAGCTTCGGTGAAACTCCCAAACTTCAAACAGCCGCCTTGGACGTAGCTTTGCTGCACTTGGCTCTGCAGCACTGCGCGCACGGCGCACACGCCGGGGTCGCGGCGGGGGCGCCTAAGCCAAGTGAGGTTTATAGCATGCATAGCATGTCATAGCAGCAACCCCACATCTGGTCCATGCAGCAGTCATTCGGAGATTCCACCTAGATACTTCCATGAAAGTCATGCCTTGCTCCTCTTGTGAGGTGCTGGCGGGGTGTGGGAACACTGTAATGTACGGTTCCATGCGCAGCTACTGTGTCGAAATACATCTTCAAGGTTACCAAAGCCTTTGCAAAGAACTCCCGAAGTAGAGCATGCCAGGCGAGGCAAAGACTCTGCATCTACTGTTTTCCTGGACCATGGACATGGATGATTCCCAGCACCACGTGCAACTTCAGACTGGAGTAAGCATATCCATGCACTTCTTGTCCATCCGACAGTCGCTCGATTGTAGTGGCTATGTCGCTGAAATCCCTGCTCAAAAGCATCCCAGAGTCCTGCCTGAGTCCACCAATGAGAGTCCCTCGCACATCCATGCACGTCTGTGCTCGGGCAAATGTTTTAGTGTGAGTTCCCAGAGTCCAAGATTTCCCGAAATGCAATGCGAGTGTAGAATCTTCAAACACGCAACTCGCAAACTGAGGACCCCGAAGCCAGGAAAGTGTAGGTTGTACCTACTCAGCTGATAAGAAAGGAGAGTTTATCCCATCGCCGCCTCTGGCACAGAGTCCTCTGCGGCAGACGTTTCCATGCCAGCATCAGGCTTCTCCTTAGGCGAAGATGCGGGTGAATCACGGGAGCACCCGGAGGTGGCCTCAGACCCATGGACAAATTGTAGCACACACAGTGCAGCTCTTGGATAATGCGAAATACTGTCACTCCGGCTTGGGAGCCTCAAGAACCCAATCTGTGGCACTCCCAAACTTAATGCTTAAAGGCACCTTCCTCGGAGCCGGGCATGCTGGGATTCAGATTCGCAATTCAGACCTGTAAAGGACCAAGCTTTGAACTTCTAGACTCCGGAGGTCTCGACGCATGAGCCTGGTGAGGAGTCTGAAGATTGCAGAGATCCTGGTCTTCTGGATCTGGTGGCTTCTGGAAAGCTGGTGAATCTTAAGTCAAGCTCCAAAACGGAAGCTTCTTACTACAGGGCGTATATACCCTAATAAACAGGTTGGCTTCCTTTTTCCAGTCCTTAAGCCCTCACCTCAACCCTACCCTCTCCCCAACTAAGATGGAACCCCATACAGCCCCCAATCAAAGGGACAGTAATCTATATACAACGGAGCGCAGGTTTTCTTTTAAAGAGGGATATAGGGGGTTCTATAGAGACATATAGGGTTTAGGGCTGTGCAATTTTCAAAAATCGAAACCCTTGAAACCCTGGGGATATATTGTAATGGCAAGGAAGCTGTAAGGGCCCCTGTTGTGATTCGATAGGGGTAACGAGGTAAAGACACATAAGTTGACTCTTTCCGGGGTATGTGTCAGTATTGCAAGTGATGCATCGCTATTTCTAGATGACCGATTTCTCAAAGCACAGCGGCACCCGACCAATGGCCCTAAGGGAAGGTAGTAGGATTGAGAGGGGCCCTCTCAGGGCTTAGCATAATGATTGCGTGAAGGCACTTTTGCTGGACAAGCATCTGGCTCCGTCTCACCATCTGCTTCTGCAGCAGAATCGACTCCCTGAAAGGGGCACATGAAAACTTCTGAAAACAAGTACTAATAGTATTATAAACAAGAATAACACCAACAGTCATATTGACAATATTTCTACTACTAGCGTTACTATTGACCATCCTATGCTGCTTGTCCAAATTCTGCAGCAGTAGCCTCGCAGCCGTATCGTCTTGAAAACCTTTGTGCGCAACCTTCCGAGCCCAGTGCTACCTCTTTATGACCACGAGAGAACGACCAAACTGTTTTTTTGCGGAGATCTTTCCCTTCATGGAAAGAAGGAGCATAAAGGCTCATTCCTGGTAGAAACCAAAAGGACAGCATGAAGGACACCTGCTGAGATCTTACATGGATATTGGGCACCTCCTTAGCCTCCAGGCTTATTCATTTGTGGCCAAGGAACTGAGTAAGATACTTGTATGCTTGGGTTGGAGTCCCGATATGCCCTTGCATCTTAGCATTGACGCTACGTAAAGTAGCAGAAACAGCTCCTCTGCGAAACGTGAAACACTCAAAGCCGTACACCCCTACTCCCCGTGCCCTAAACCAATATTCAAGTGTCAACAACTCCATAGACCATGAACCCCCACTTGAACCCAATTTAAACATCCCAGACCGAAACCCCAAAACTCGAACCCTAAACCTGAAACGTTGATGCCCAAACCCGACAGCCCCCAACCCACCAGTCCTTCAGAGGTAAGATCCCCCCCTACATCCAAAGCCCTAAATTCTCGCTGGTGGTTAGTAGGTAACGTGGGACTGCACTCCCTCTATAACCCCTATATAATGTATTCCCTTATTCCCTACCAACCACCAGTAAGATAAGCTCCTAAGCAAAACCCCAAACCCTAACAAAACCCAAGCAAACCCTAAGTCCTAAACAAACCCCAAACCCTGAACACCCCGAAACTTCAACAAACCCTAAACAAACCCTAAGCCCTGTAACCCTAAACCCTATACCCTAAACCGGTTCCGAAGCAAAGCCCATGGCCCGGAGCCTCAGCCCGGGGCTTCCGCTTTGGGAAGCGGCCGAGCAGCAGCCTCAGCGGTTTCCGCTTGGAGGTGTGGCAACTGGGGCAGTTAGAGGAGAATAAGGGTGTGTATATATATATATGTAGAGAGAGAGAGAGAGAGAGAGAGAATGGTATGATATATATATATATACATATGTGTATATGTATAGAGAGATATGTAGGGTTTAGGGTTCAGGGTTGTAGGGAATAATAAGGAATATATTGAACAGGGATCATAATGCATTCCTGATATTCTTCCCTATTGACCCCCAGTAAGTTTGGGGTTTGGGGTTTACTGTTTCCTTAGTGGGAGATCTTATCAAATAGCATCTATGTTCCTTATACAGGCTTCACGAAGCAAGAATTACATGAACACATCCAACACTTATCCAGTTTGGGATTTCGGGATCTACCTCTTTTTGGGGGTACACACAGCTGAGGATCCTTGGCTTCACGCTTGGAATGTAGAGCATCCAAAGCGATTTAGAGCCGATGAACTGGGATTGGGACAACGGGTGCAGGGACGATGTGTTGCAAGGGTCAAGCTTGCTTCTGCAAACTGCAGGGTTATGGAAATCTTGGAATCGTTTCAGCCATCAACCTTGCTAAACACCAAGGCAGAGCCACACCAAACCCGGAGAGTGAACGCCCCAAAGCGACACTTGGGCTTTCGGGGGCTGAGGCCGATTCCTTTGCATCTCCGAAAGCATCCTTCAATATGTGGGACCCTCCTATCAATGGACAAATTCTCGCACCACTTAAGGTCCCTTAACTACCTAGAAATTTGGCCGACTCCGGTTGTGCAGGATTGCCTGAATCAACAATTTGTCGTCATGTCTCTCATTGAGCATTAGGTCAAGTCAAGGCTTGATGTTGCCATGTCGTCTCCATGAGGGCGGCAAGATGAAACTAGGTAAGCACATTACAAAATTCGGAAGCTATGTACGGTAGTTGTTTCAAGAGACCATAGTTTTCGAAGTGATTCTCCATTTTTACTGATAATTACTCAGGCTTCTACCTGGGCCCTCAATTCCCCTAATCTCACCCCTCTATACTCGGAGGCTCCAGGCCCTTTGCGCAACCCATCTGCTCAAGTTTTGGGAGCAGGATGTAAGTTGAGACGCCCATACGGTAGTGGCGCTTGAACTTCGGGCTTCGGGAATTCTATATCCAAATCATGCAGGATTTCAGATAAACTGTAATACCTATGATCCTCCCCTACTGCGCCTTCAACGTCACTAAGTAGGAAGTCCCACACCCCGAGCCCCAAATCCTGCAGTAGCTTCCAATTTTGTTTTCACTCTCCGACATCCCCTCAACCTCTAAAATCTAAACTCTTTAGTAATTGCCATTTTCTTTTCCAACACCCCCCCCCCCCTGCACCACCATTCCTTTCTAAGCACCACGAAGTCAAGCCGAGCCGCTGCTTTGTGAAGCGCTCCCGCAGTGGCGGCCGCTCGCCTGAGAGCTGAGTTGAGGAAATGAGATGGCAAGTGGCGAAAATTATGGCCCCTCTGGGGGGGGTTGAGGGTTTAGGGTTTAGGGTTTAGGGTTTAGGGGTAAAAATTGTGGCCCCTCTGGGGGGGTCCCTAATATGTGTTGGCACTGATTATTCAGGGTACAACAAAGCAAATCAAATTTGGACGAGATACCAGTTTTAGCCTTCAAGGTTTTGGGTTTCTGCACATGAACTGAAAGGCCTACAGCTCAGGGCTTACCTCACTGCTTCCTAGTGACGCTGTTGTACAACGGCGCTTACACAATTGGGGTCTCTCATCTCTATGCGCACTACAGAATGCAATGCTCTTTTGAGAGAGCCCTATGGCCTCATGGAACCTGGAAAATGTTGAGTGCTATCTCTTCTTCCACAGCAAAGCCACTACTCATGGGAAGTCAGAACGCCATGATACTGTTGTGCACATCCTTGAAATTTGAGCGGTAAAAAGGTGGTGAGTGCTGTCTATGCAACTCGCCAAACTTGCCAGAATTACGTGAGTGATGTTAGTACCTGGATCTTGAACCCACATTTGAAACCCAAGTGCAAGCTCTGTTCCTTCTACACACTCTGAACTGTACGTCGTAAGGGCCTTGCCCGCCAACAATGCAACACCATGCTATCGTTTTCAAGCTCAAAAACTCGCAGTGCACTTGGCCAACAAATTAAGGAAAGTGTGTGATGTGGCATTCAGGGGTGTTGAAGGTGGCTGAAGGTTAGGGTAAAAGATTAGCCATTTAGGGGCTGCGAGTTGGAGGCGTGCCCATTCCGACCAGGCTGCTTGCGGTCTGCGCCGCTTGAGGAGGGGTCGTTGCCTGCGATAGAATCAAACATGGTAGTTTCCATAAATAGGGGGACCCCAATATAGACCTCAGAATACTATAATCCTAATTATGGGGATCCTCTCGGAAACCCCCACATCAGAGCTGCTCCGAATACGGTGGACTGGACCTCTTGCTGCTTGGCTTAGTCTCAGCCTTTTCAAGGGCATAATATGATAATGAGAAAATCTCAAAGTGCCAAAGCCACATGGCAATCAGAGATCTGCGCAAGTTGCACAAGTTCGCGTTGAGACACTGCTGCGGGCGCAAAGCCGGATGTAGGCTGGATCCCTACGGCTTTGAATGTAACAGCCCCCTCAAACTTAGCCAGCAAGACAAGCCGTGTGATGCCAAAGCCCACATACATACGTCGTGGGCCCTCCAGGTAACTCTGAACCCTCCTTTTACTTCTGAACCATCCTGCTAACTATGGTGGTCCAGACACATCAAGCATTTGGGGGATTCAGGCCCCCACAAGCCAGATTGTACAAGCATTGCTGGGCTCACTTCACAACCGTGATAATTAGATGAGTATGCAAAACACTCCCTGTTTCTCCAGAATTTGCGTAATCTTAATCCTTATTAAACTCCCAACCCCCCTTCAAGCCGGGGTCACGAAGCCCACATCCCGCGGCCCTCTCGGCCTCCTTCTCCGGCTTAGGGCCAATCGGGTGCGGGAAGCGAGGAACTGGTGGCTTCCTGGGAGCTAAGTGGAGGAAAATACCCGGAAAGTCAAGGCGGGGCTCCAGAATTAGGGCTTAAGAAGAGACTAAGGCTTAGGAGTTTTGTTTGGCTGGAAGCTTAAGCTCTCGCCTTCTTCACGTCATGTCTGTGCGGTCCTGTGCATGACTGCGGTCCTCTGCCAGTGGCCCATTCATCTGAAGCAAATTGAAGAAATCCGGTCCCATACCTAAACCTTTCAAGGCACTCACGACTCAATGCGTCTGTCTCCCCATGACATGAAGCGAAGCCTCCTACAACTACTCCTGAAATCCTAGACCCAGACAAACGTTGTTGAGTCGGCTCCCCGGTACGAGCGTCTTCTCTGCCAGCACCTCCACCGCAACAGTCTTGCTGTGTCGCCGCTTCTTCCTGTAGCAGCCGAAGAGTAGTCTTATTTCCCTCCACGCTAAACGGCTCAATCATCAACCCTTAATCATAACAAGCTGTAGGGTGTCGGGTCTGGCTCCAGGAAAGTTATCGAATCTCTGATCAAGCAATGCCGAGGATAGAAGACAAGAACTCCTAGACCCAATACTGATTCCCTATGTCTTAGATTCCGGACCCCACAGACAAAGTCTGCAAATCCAACAGTGGCAAATCAGGCCAAGCATCTTCTTCTTTTTCTTCTTCCGCTTCTTCTTGGCCGGACCATCGATCAGCAGAGGAGCTGTTGCAGCCATCAGCATGTCCTGTCTTGCTCAACAGATTCAAGGTGCGACCCCAAGTTGGAACCGAAATTGATGTCAGTAGGAAATACCAGCAGTCACCATACATAAGCTCCTATATTGGATACTATTGTGCCTCATAACAGTTCCCCGAACCCTAGGATCCAACCTAAAGGTCAAGCCCAAATCCCGTGACTCCCTGCTGCCATGCAACATCTACGTATGATGAATGGGCGAGGGTGATTTACAAACCCGGACTTTTTAGGAAAAAAGTCAAAAGTATGCACATAGCAGCGCAAGCAACGCATACTTGAAGCTCATTGCGTGGAGCTTTCACTTCAGAACCGCCAAACTATGCCAAAGTTCTGGACCCAGAATATATTGCAACCCTGACCCCAGAGCTCATCGGCATCGAGCCCAATCTGTCAGACAGACAAACCTACCCATTCGGGTCTTGCAATGGGAAATGAGGTCATCCAGCTCGCTCAATGTATGTGGAGGGTATAATCCGGTTGCGGTTGCAGCTGCCCACGACATTGGTGCTCAGCAAGCTATACATGCTGAACCCTAGAATCCTCATCTACCACTGGCGTCTCCCTGGAAATGGGCCGCGGCGAGTCATCGCCATCACACTGGCCTCCCAAACAGTCTGGATCTCTAGGATGCATATGCGAAGCTTGCTCACTATGGAGGTGCTGCTGGATATGACATGTGAATGCCAAAAACTCCGCCCAGCTCGTCGTTTGCAAGTCGGGGTCCAGGTGGGGCAAACCGGCTAACCAATTTCTGTGCTACAGCTGCGGCGCTCAATGCCAAATGCTGGACCCAGAGAGCTGTTGCACCCTACTTCCCAAGGGCCTACATCGTCCATGGTGGTGCCAGGCTGATACTCGTCCGACTCATTCACGAGAATCTCCCTGAGGGCGGTGCCTGTCTGCCGTGTTCACAACATAAACTTGTTCTTACCTCTCGTCAGCAAGGAATGTAGTACGGGATGCTTAGAGTAGTCTCTATATAACCGCCATTACTATAATAGTATATACTGGTTACTGTACCATTTCCTTTTCCATCCCTGCATTCCCTGCTAACCAGAGGCAGGCAAATTTTGTCGAGTGCTCATACCAGGACCTGCTGGAAAGGTCCATCTTATCCTTCCAACTATGTGCCATGAAGAGGCAGTCCCCAAACCTGTGGTACAGGGTCCAGGTCGTTGTTTACACACCAGTTGAAAACGCTCTGCGCAAACTACAACGACATGGCCAGTCAGATCATGGCCTGCCTAAGGCAAGGGCCTAGATAATGATAGCAGGCCTTTGGGGGGTACATGCTTCTCAGGCAGCTACAAGACACTCCCAAAAGAAGCTGATGACGAGATGCCCTCATCCTCATCTGCATCCTCGTCCTCATCTTCATCATCGGCCTCCACTTCCCTGAGGGATGGGCAAGAATGGCTTAAGCGTGAATGGCCGGCACGCATTTCTTCTGGACTTGACACGCCCCACTTGAAATTCAGGATGTCAACACGAAAGGGCCCCTACTACAGGCTGTGCACTTAACTTATGCAGCCCCATGACCGTATTGTCACAAATGACTTTGGCTGTGACTTTGTCAATCAGCTGTAGTTCTACACAGCCTCTGCAAAAGCATGCTTCCACAAACCTGTCCTCCCCAAGATGCGCGCCCTCATGTTGTCGAGGCCTAAATAGTAAGCCCTAACAATCCGCCAGCACTCAGCCGGAAGGTCCTCCCTTTTGGGGTCAAATTCTGCGGAAGAAGGCTATGTGTGCTTCCTATACGCGCACCAGACGAGAGAAACCACTGGCACCAGGAGGTCAAGGATGAATAATGACAAGTACGATACTGGCGGCAAGAGCGATCATAGGATTGCCCTCAGAACCCACTATGCGGAGTGTTGAGAGTTTCTCGCAGCGGGGAGCCCGCAAGGACCCTAGAGAAAAGTAGGGGCTGCAAAGTGATGATAGAGGTCCACGGTAATGGGTTTATGGAGGTAGGTTACTCCCTCCTGATTGAACTAATTAATGCAGGCAGGAAACTCCTCGCCAAGATCTTCGGCTTCTGTGACTGCTTTCCTCAGACGAAGGTACTGTAAATGGAGTAAGTCTTGCACCACCTTGTATGTCACCCCAACAACAGCAATTGCGGTACTTTGAAGTTCCTATGTGGTATAGTTCTCCCTCATCGGCCCTACTACTGACTTGGACGTTTCTGACAAACGGTACCTTTGCAATGCCTAGCAGGGAACCAATCCTCCCTTCTAATCTTCATGTATCCTCAGGGTGCTTGCAGGGTATACGGTTTACCCCAATTTGGAAATCCGCGCCTCAACCACTGCATCATTGCACAAGTGTTGAGCGGAAGGAGGACAGCAAATGCTTATTGACTGCTTTGCGTCTTCTAGATACTCATGTATACGGGGACATCTGAGGACAAGCTGTTCCTCTATGTGCTTCTCCCTTTGTTGCTGTGTTCAATCCTCAGGCTGCTCTGAATTTGGGAAGATTTGGCAGACGTTTCACATCCTAGCTGTAACTACGTGTACCCTAACAAGGCAACTACAAGACCCCCCTCAAGCCTAAGTCCCCTAACAGGCCCTGCCCACATGAACCGTGAAAACCAAAATGCAGCACAAGCGTCCAGTCATCCACATCAGGACTCTCCTTCCGGACAGTGCTTCAGTGCTCTCTTAAGGCCTACTTGTGTTTGAAGGGAAGCCCAGTGCTGCGTCCGTGATTTTTTTTAGGACTTAGGGATTTGGGCTGGTGAGGAGTGGTCAGGACAGGGTATGCTTCGTTATGAACGAACCGGATCTCTCCTTTCAGGCGTGCAAGGCCCAGGATGGTCTCAAGCACGGAGCTGACAGCCCACATTTCTTCTACAGGTCAACCCCACTCGCAACTCTCGCAACATGGATCAATGACCATGCTTCCCAGCCGAGGGACACGTCAGCGGCTTGCGATGTGAGATTATGAGCTGGATGGCTACTACAGTGGCAGCCAGTCCATTCCGAACCCACAGGGTAGTTTTCTGAACGATAACCTTAAACCCAAGATTTGTTTATCTCAAAGGAGCAGGGCCTATCTTCGGAGGCGCGTCTGGATTAACCTACAGTCCTGTCTTGGAAGTGAAGCCTAAGATCAACAGTACCGAGGAATTAAGCGAACAGTACGTGGGTGACCTGTGCTGTGGTAGTGTTGTTCGAAGCCTGTTCTCCGAAGTCAGCGCCCTCGCAACCTAAATGAATCCCACCCGATGTCTGCTTGATCATCTCCGTCTCTCTACATCATCCCCTCATAATCAGTCCCTGACTGGAATATCATGCGCACCAACATCCTCACCCCAACGCGCAACCGACTCCTTCCACCCAGAAATCATGCCTTCCGCTTGGTACTGGCGATTCCTGCTAAAGCAATTTCAGGACCTCATGGCAAATCGTTCCCTCACGGGACCCAACCAACCCATGCTTAGAACCTTCAACTACCCTCCATTATGACCCAAGTACTCATCATTCATACGTGACCCTCATAGAGATCAATTGGGGGGCGGTCAGGGGACCGTCAACCTTGAATGTAGTGACAGGGCCCAAAATACTGGAATCGGGTTCGGGGGCATTTGTACCTTCAGTCATATAAGGGCTCGAGTGGAGTAGTGTCGAGAATTTGCGCTTCTGCATTCGTGCAGGCAGCCTCATCCTCCGCCTCATCGTCGCCCTCATCGTCTTCGCCTTTTTCACGTCACACTTGCCATTGAACCCCAGTGTTTGAATCTCGCCCCAGACCAGGAGAAATAGTCACAATAGTCATACTCTTCCTGGACTTGCACAATCTTCACCCCACCCCGTCGCTGAGGAATCTCAGGTTGGGGTGGACAATTCCAATTGAGGCCGGTTCGAGCTATCCTGGAAGACCAGCATTGAGTAACTCTTCATTATGTTGTCCACTCATCAACAAATGTTGACCACATAAGGTTCCTATGTCTATACACATCCCTCCTGTACCAATATGAGTGAGTGGGGGTGCCAACTGAGCCCATTATGAAACCCGAAGCTCTCCTGAAGATGCGGCATCTGGAACAAGAGGCAATCATGGCGTGTAGTTCGGGGTGCCACCCTAGGCTAAGAGTATCAATGCCTAGCTTCATGCGAGAATGAAGTCTCGCTAGGCAACATTCAGCGTATTCAAAGCCCAAAGGCTAAAGGACCCATGGGTTTTTTGGGAGTCCCCAGACTGGACGCCGAATAGATGCATTCACCCTCATTCCGAATCAACCCGATAGACACTCACCAAAGACCACAACAAAAACAAGCATCAAGCTGGAAACTACCGTACTACAGCGGATACAGAAAAAGCTGCATGACCCTAAGTACCTTATACTTGGGAATTTTTTGTACTATAATATATTACGTTCATGCAGGATTCTAATATCAAGAGTATTGGGGATTATGTAAGGGCTACTATGAGGATCCATTCCTTCATTCAAAAACGGAAGCAGGATTTCTACCAAGGCAGATATGGCAGGGAGCTAAGTCCCTGACCGAGGGTCACAAATCCATCGTTCTCCATGGATTCCTGGAAGCTGCACTTGGGAACTTGTCGTTCATTAAATCCCTATATTCCCCCAGTTTCCATTTCATTTTCCATTTTATTTTCCATTTGATTCTCCATTATAGGGGATAATATAGCCTAATTTAAGTTCCTATGGAAATCAGGACCCCTTAAACCCCTTGTGCCCTCACATAAGGGTGCCTCTATTCTCGGAAAGCCCCAACTTCAGGGCAAGCATGTAGGTTCCTTTTCTTAAGACTCGCGGGATACATAAGGATTAAGGGGCGTATTGTAGGGGTCCCCATTGATGACTCCATGGGCTTTCAAAAATCAACTTTGAGGGACCCTCGAGTTAGGCAATAAATGTATTGACCATATCCCTGTAATAGGCTCATTAAAACCCCATTTGAAGCCTTTACACTTTAGAAGAGGCGGAATCGGGCACAAAACCCGGACAACTCCTGTGTAGAGTGGATATGAACCAACAGCACTTACTACAACTACGCCTTGACAGCGGAGCTTACTACCAATTACGCACCCAACATCAGAGCTCCCGGCGACTAATGCTTCTCCGATTGCAAACGCCTCGGAGTAAGAGAACAGCTGTTGCAAAGGGAAACGGGTTCCTCGGTGCTCCGAAAATATCAGGGACCCCAAGCACATCCGGAATCAAGACCGTTCAACATGTGAAAAGCTAAGACCGCTGAGACTCAGAACCAGCAAGTTTAGGCAGCTTTTGAAATTTCGGCTTACCTTATTCAGGGACCCTTCGTGCAGGCTATTCTGATTCACCTGACTTGAGTAGGCGCGGACATTGAGACCCGGAGGCAAAGTCAGCTACAAAGGTTTTGAGGTAACACGCCTACTTGGGGCAATCTCTGAGGGTTCAACGTTTCCGAATGCCTTCAGCCGTGATGAGACAAAGTGTGACTGTTAAAGCGACAGTAGATTCCTCCGCCTGGGAGGCAGGCGTTGCACTACGGTACAGTCCCACGGGCTTAGCGAGTGAGGTCAACAGAATCTGAGATCTTAAAGCCATGTAAGCCACAAAACCAAACCCACAGCATATTGGCCGAAACACTCGCACAACACCACTCCGTTCACACCACCCGGAATAGCAACTGTTGAGCCTCAACTCCTGAATCCCAGCATATGACAATTTCTGCAAGATGGGATTTCCAAGTCAGGCTTTACCTCTATACTGCCATAGTTATTACTGTCCTAAGCAAAGAAAGGCTGGCTTTACAAGACTCGTCCACATCTAAGTCTCCAGCATCCCCGCTTAGGGCCAAGGTCGCGTCAGCTGCGGGTGGAGAGCCTCCAGCGTGGAAAGGCACATGAAATCATATGAGCTCCTGTCAACATTGCCTACACAATTTACTGGACATGGGTTCCTTGTTAGGGACTGTTCTAGGGAGTATACTAAACTACAAAAGCTGGTAGGGGCCCCTTAATAGGGGAAATAATGACAGTAGATCATTTGTAATCAGGGTAGTTTGGTAACCCCTCCAAATCCCCTCATCCCTAAACCATCAACCCTTGGACGTCTTTATGACCACCCCTGGACATCCCAGGGCTATCAAGGGATTATGTGATTATGCGAATCGAGGATGAGGGTCTCTCTTGAGGGCGTTGTGCTGGAGAAGTGCGATTCTCCAAGACTGCCACGTTGTGTTCCTGGGTTGCCGATACGGAACTTAAATCAAATCAGCGTAATGCGTAGAACCATATTGTTTCCTATATACCCATATTATGGAAGCTTAATTTAAGGTCCTTAAAACCCTGAAGCCTACAAGCCATCGTCCGGATCAGGCCTCCAAAAAACACTTTACTTATTGGTTCTCAGTAGGAAATAAGGGGAAATCATGTCCATATACTATATTCCCATATACCCTACCAAGACCCAGTAAGTTTATGCGGGACCCAAAGGCAGACCTTGCAGTCTAAACTCCTTAAAAGGGGTTCTATAGGGGATTATATAATCCCCTTCTTTAGGGTTGAGGGTCGTATAGGGGATTACATAGGGGACTACTATAGGGCTTATTAAGGGGGATACTATGAGTTTAGACTATGGCTCATTTGGCTACCTTGATTGGTCTTTGGACCGGCTTGGACTGCTTTATGAAGACGAAGACTTAGAGCAATCAGAGAATTCTTGAGGGATTAGATGAAAAGGTAGGCAAAGTAAACAACATCCTCAATATCAACATCATATTTGAAGAGGTTGGGCTGTATAACCGCAAGGTGCCTACTGACCGCAGCCAAGCAAAGTCTTCCCAGCCTGCTGCAGATGTCTCCTCGACATCTACCAGCAACTCCTCCATTTCCTCGGCAAAGACAATCAGAGATGAGGGGTCCATAAAGTAGGGTTTGAGAGTGTCAGAATTGCGGGATGTGGCTGGCCCTTCCAGTGCTGACAGGTGCATAATGAGATGGGGTGCGTATCTTTTTTAAGTAGACCCTAGATCATATAACGAACTCTCCTTCTCCAAAAGGCATTATGACAGGGATGCTAAGTTTGGGCTCTTACAGAACCAGAGGGCCCAAAGCTGCAGAAGGCTATGGTCAGATGGTGAATACTCTGATTAATCTTCCATGTGTAGGCGTTCAGGCCAGCGACACGGAGAAGGTAAGCGTGGATTGCAAAGTAGATGCGAGGGCAGGAAAAGCATGGATACCATAGGTGGACCCCCACCCAGTAATAGTGACTATAAGGGATAATAGGGACTATATTAGGGTCCTCTTATATTCCTAGTCTACCACTATTACAGGGTGGGGGGTCCTCCTAATGGATACCGGTAGATTTCCAGGTAGTTATGAGTGGGGCAGAAAGCGTTTCTCTGAATTGGAGACCCTGCAAACGTCCTCAAAGCTACAGGTAGGCCTAGATTGGCTTCAAAGGTGAAGAAGGGAAGGGGGCAAAAGATGCTCCTTGCTGGTTCTTGGACCATCATGTGAGCCATAGTCTAAACNNTATATAGGGTTATGTAGGGGATTAGGGCTTATAGTCTAAACTCCTAGTATCCCCCTTAATACGCCCTATAGTAGTCCCCTATATAATCCCCTATATAACTCCCCTTTAAGGAGTTTAGACTACAGCCCATGTTGGGCCATCATTTTATTACTCTTGTGGTCCAGGCAGGATTACAATTCAGGGCCTGCAATGTCAACCTCCTGCAGGTTCATGGGTTCCCCTACTACCCCCTCCAATACATCCCCCTCCCTTAATTATCATTGAAACCCTTTTTGGTGGTTTTTGCAAGTGTCCCTGGCTTCTCTGTGAGCCCACTGTCGCCTCGAAGCAGCCTTGCAAGGTATGTAGACAAAGCTATGTCCGTCCCCAGACACAAACCAGGATGATAGCATTTTGGGGCTGATGTTGGGGTCCCCTATCTATGGACCTGACTACCATACAATACATTCCCCTGTTTCCATTTCATCCTAAAACTCAAACTGTAAGCCCTAGTCCCTAATCCCTAAACCCCCCAACCCGCCCTAAACCCGTAAACAGCTGAGGTGTATGAGGTCAACACAAAAAGTTTTATCAAGACTTGGCCTTGTCACCAATCCTGGCGACCCAAGACCCGCAAGCCGTGGAACTCTGAAATCACTGGGATTCGAGAGGGGTTTGGAGTTTGTGGGGTTTCGGGTGTGTGAGGTTTAATGTTTAGTGTTTAGGGTTTGTAGGGCTTATAGGGTTTACAGGGTTTATAGGGTTAAGGGTCTATGGGGTTTTGGGTTTAGCGAGTGTGTTAGCCTGTGGGCTTGCGCGGCTCTTGGCGAGCCGATCTGAACTTTCAAGCATTTTCTCTAAGGGGCCATGTCAGTGTATGACTCTCCCACATCCGCCCAGTACGCCAGTACAACACGAAATTCAAACTCTGAATCCTACATGGTCCCTTCTGTTCCTCGACAAAAAATGCTACTTACTCAAAATTAAACCCTGAACCCTGCATGCACCCAAAGCCTAAACCTTACCTATTCCAAATCCTACTCAAGCCTAAACCTTAGAAGTCACAAATCCGGGCCCCTGGCCGACGTGTCCTGGAACGCCGCTCGTGGTGGAGCTGTCCGGCAGTTTTTTCAGCAAGCAAAACAGTAAGGGTCCAGTATACAATTTCTGTATGATATTGGCTATAGTCTAAACTCCTAGTATCCCCCTTAGTGGCCCCTGTAGTACTCCCATATACCATGGGGTGATTATGCTGCTAGCACATGATACTGATATACTTTGGACACTTAAGGAGGGGATTGGAGCTTGTTTTGGGCTTTGGGTTTCTAGGTGGCTTATGCTTTCGGGGCTCGGCTTGATTGGCTGTCCTTACCGTAGGGGCTCGCTTCTAAACCCTGTCCCATGTTCTATTTTTGACGTACCCATGAAGTATGCCCCCCTGAAATTTGCAGTCGCTAATTGAAGATGGAGCATCAGAGGCAGGTGCTGAATGAGGGGAAGGGATTGTTTGCCTTAGTGGTGTTGAAGTCGTCGCGTTTTAGGAGGAGGGTTTCGGAATATTGGATTTTAGGCTTCTGGCACTGATCTCCGACTCTAATTAACCCTCCAAACCAAGCAACCTTTGCCCCAAAACCAGACCGCCACGGCCTTACACCCCAAGCCTCAACCCACTGCAAGCCTGCCGTGCAGATTCATGACTTCTTATGTTTACCCCTCAAACTGGGATATGCATCGCTTCTAATGTCCTCTCACGCCGTCTAACGCACCTGGTCCTCGAAGGGACATCTGCCCCCCAAAGTGGACAGCCTCTCAAACCTGAACATCCTTGTAACCAACCTGCTTAAAGCCCCATGTGATCCTCGAGAACGGGCGCATTACAATGCTGCAAAGACCAGGGCAAGCCCTTCTCTCGCTTAAACAAACATGTGACCAATCCAGATTCCTTCTCAAAAGGGGGTGTAAACCCTGTAATCCCGCTTCGGGATGTAAACTGGGGGGCACCCCTGAGCCAAAGTGCTCCCCAGACCGAACTAACTCTGGACTAGCCCACGGGCTGCGAACGCTGTGAGTGAAACCCTGTAATCCCTGAGCCCTGTACCCCAAACCCTAAACCCAACACCCTGAACCCTTTGTGAACATTTCAGAAGGCCTGGCGGTGTTTCCCTTTTCTCTGGCGCAGGCCTTGATTGATTTAGGGGTTTCCCAAAATTAGAGATAAAGGGATCCCATAATCAGGATTATAGTATATTGGGGTCGATAATGGGATCGGCAGGATCCTCATGTTAGGAAACCACCATTTAGTTGAGGATTTTGGGGCCTACTGACAGTAACCTTACATCCACGGAAACAAAACAAAAAAACACTGCATACAAAGCCCTTTTTAGGTGCATTTGCGCCACTATCGCGGCTGCTAAGCAATCCTGGCAGATAGGACAAAGTCTGCATGGCTCATGAGTTCTGCGTAATTATACGCTGAAGTGGCCAATGCGCAAGTGCCGTGTTTACGTGGCGGGGCCACGCCAGAGAAATGAGACGAAACAACGAAAACGTCTCTGACTTGCCAGTGAAGGTGGCATCTCGCAATGGATTCAATCGGGTTTGGGGCCCAGGGAAAACTGTCAGCTCAGCCTTGTACCATCACTTCCTTTTTACCCATGTGATGGTACCCCTTAACTTGAGTTCCCTAAGAGCAACCCAGTTTAGGCCAAGACTCAGGCTATTACTGTTGCGATTATGATTACTATTCATTATTACTATTACTATTCAAAGGTTCCGGCGGCATGGGCTCCAGGGTGGAGGCTGCCGGAAACAGCGCCTGCGCAAGAGGGATTTGGGTTTGGGCGTTTCCCAAAATAGGGGGAACCCAATATATAGACCCCAGATACTAAAACCCTTAAGAAAGGGACCCTCAAAAAGGTACCCATGACTTTGGGAACCCACCATCTTTTCTTTTAGGACATAGGATTTACTGTTTAGGGCGTAGGGAGTATGATTAGGATTTAGGGCCTCCGGGGCGGATTGCATAAAGGCCTGAAGGTCGGGGCGTTAAAAAGTCCAAGAGAAGAGAATCAACCCTAAACCCTAAACCCTAAACCGCGTGGAAGAGATAAAGGAGCATGAAATCGAAGCTGAGCTCGCATAGCAGTTGCAGGGATGTAATGCAGGGCATCAAGACTCATAACCATTTGAGGGGGGGTAGGCTTCACTATATTGGATTCCACTTTATCAAATAACGATTCTGGGCGAGAAAGTAATACTCATTAGTCTTAGAGAGTCAGAGTTTATGTTTAGAGCTTCGGTTTCATGATTAGGGTTCAGAAGCTGCTGGCTAAACCCCTACACCCTAAACCCGACCCTAAACCCTACACCCTAAACCCTGCACTCTAAACCCTACACCCTAAGCCTTAAAACCACATTAAAATGTATTCCGCGAGGTTTTTAGCGCCCATTTGGACCAGAGTTGCCTCCACCATTTCAGCATGGAACATCCCTTGTTGGGTCAGTCCCCCATCCAGTAATGGATATCACAAGGTACCAGTGGAGGTATATTAAGGCCCTATTAACTCCATATTAAGGAGCTATTTCTACAGGGGGGCAAGCCCAGTGTTCTGAGCGCAACCTGGCCTACGCAGACTTCCGAATGTAGGTCCATTTTTGAGGTTCCCAAATCTTAGGAAACTGAAGTCCCCAACAATGCAATTACACGGTACAGTGACTACAGGGTGCCTTATTGCGATTGAAGTACTTTCTTGCAGTCTCTACTTCGAGGGTAGGCCAGAAACCCCTGTTACCCATAGGGCAACCCTACTTATCCCCATGATCAACCTACTTACTCGGGCCCCCCGACCCTCCGACAAATTATACAGGGCTATATTGGGGGTTATATTGGCTTATATAGGGTAATATTGGGATAATGGAAAAGAAAATGGAAACGACTATATTATACCCTAAACCCAAACCCCAAACCCAAAACCCAAAGCCCCAAACCCTAAACCGTGTGACACGTTATACAGGGCTATATTGGGGTTATAGAGTACTGCAGCCTGACAAGCAGAATCCGTCTCTGATAGGCCTACTGGCTCTGGAGACTAAAGCCCTATATGTGCCCTAGCATAAACATACATATATGTGTGTATATATATATATGTATGTATGTAGATATGTTCCGATGTATGATTACACATTCTATATAATAAGCTTAGTCGCTGAAAGATTTTGGCCTTCGGCGGTTCGAGGGACGACGAGCGAAGTCTAGGCGGGAGCCTGGCAAAGCCACGAAGGGCCCAAGAACTCAAACAAGCTACGGGTGTAGGGTTTGGGGTTTAGGGTTTGAGGTTTAGGGTTTGAGGTTTGGGGTTTAGGGTTTGAGGCTTA